AACAAACTTGAGCATTAACAATGATTCTCTTTCTTTTATTTATTAAATTTTTGACGCATGCTAAAAATATATACATGCATGTAAATAATCATATATTTCTTTATTTCTTACTATACCTTCCAGTTATAGTACCTGATGGCATTTGTAACTTTGGAGAAACATCACCAGAAACTATCTTCATCAGGAATTGTAGATGTTCATTGGTCAGTCTAGTTCCTTTTTTTACTTAATTACTTAATTTTACTTATTTTTGCAGAACTGCAGACAAACATCCTTCATATAAATGTATTCCTATGCAAAGCGCTTATTCGTATTGCGAAAATTCGTAATTGAGAGTATATATCTTATAAGTTTGAAAAATTGTTAATCAAATCGTTATCTTCAGATCTATGAATAAGATTTTTCTAGATCTTCAAATTTTTATATTACATTGAAAATTAATTAGCTCCATTTGTAGATTTCCTGCGTTGTAACCACATTCTTTTTTAATGCTAATTAAAATAATGTAAATTGGACTCCAAGTCATTAAAATCTTAAACTTTTATTCAAAATTTTTCCACAATAGTCTATACTATTAAAATCAGTGCGCGTCTGTCGGTTCGTTTATTTGTAACATCATCTCCTCCGGAACGGGGGGGGGGAGTTGAGTTTCGAGAGAGGTACCTCGCCCCGGATTTAAAAAAATTCGAGGGAAGCCATTTCGACCATTCTCATCTTGGTACGATTTTAATCAGCCGAGATATTAATTAAAAACTCTGAAATTCTATATTGGCAGCAAAACATTTATTTGCGAGCTGGTTATTGAGGGCTGCTCGAGATAGCAATTATTGATTGCTACGGGGTATTAAAAACTGCAAAAACGCTAATTTGGCAACAAAAATTTTATTTACAAATTGGTTGTGTCGAATTGCACGAGATATTAATAAAAACTCTGAAAATGCGAATTTGACAAAATTTATTTGCGAATTGTTGCTTGCTTGAAAAGCTCGTTAGTGTTAATTAATTTCCGATAAATGTTTTCGAGAGCCGCATGCGGGCCACTAGTTTGAGACCACTGCTTTATTTGACCACTACTAAGTAGCAATACATAGCACAAAAATCATAATTCAGAAATTTCATATTGCAACAGCGACTAGAGAATTTAAAATTAACGAATAATTTAAGTTTAGATTATACGTGAAATGTTTTTTGACAAACATAAATGGAAATGCTTCGTTTATGGAAAGAATGTATTTCATATTAAACGGAAATGATTAATTAAGATAATTTTACTTATATGGACTTACTTTCAAATAAATAGACTAATAAGCTATAAAAGTGTACAAAAATATGCTTAAAAATTGTTCTGGGACAAAATTTCTCTAACAATCACTGGTTTTCTTTAAAAAAAATTACCTCGAAAAAGAAGTCAGATTTTTAAAAATATTACGTTTTTACACATTTACAGTAGAATATTCGTATGTATTTCAGTTTTAGAAAATGAATTTGAAATTATATATTTCAATTTAATTTGATCAATCAAATTCAAATCAATTAAAGGGACACAGAAAAGAAGTCCAGAAAAACTACCAAGCGATAGTTTTTCTGGACTTCTTTCCTGTTTTCTTGATTTCTGGACTTTAAATCCCATTTACAATGGAATCAAATTGATTATGCTTAAGAATAACAGGGAAACACTTTTTTCATAATGTGAGAGTTGATTTAAGTTAAATTCATTAATTACACAAATTTAATTTTGGTAAAGGTATAGATATAAAAGTTTCAATAAAATTTTCAGGATTAGTTTCGAAGGTTTGACTATAAAACCTTCTTCTTCAGCTGCAGGAGCGAAAGTGACAAAGGAGAAGCTGTGCTCAAGAGATAAGAATAGACTAACATTTTGAGAAAGTTCCAAGAGAAAGAAGCAAAAGCTACTGGCGTCATCTTGCTTGCTTCTTATTCCTTGATTGCTTCTTTCTTTTGGAATTTTCTCAAATTTTTAGGTCTATTGCTCATGGTTACTTTTGGTCTCATGAGCGCCGACTATTTGAATTTTTCGAGCTCTTTCGAAATGAGGTAGGCCGATGTCTGTCAGTGCTCTTGGCATCAGTTCCACTTTAAAATAAAATCTTGAAGATTTTTATGTCCTAATTTGCGTTTACATATAAACTGCGAGGTAGTATTATAAAAATTTCTGCTCAGTTGAGGGATTTGAAGTATTCCTATCTGATATAATCATAGAACTATAACAGAAATTAATTAAATTGTAGAAAACATGCTTGAGCATTATATATAAAGTAAGAGAAAAGAGTTCAGAGGAGCTCTTTTTATCAAACTGTACTTTTTTGTAACCTGAATATATTTAAAAAGTAGTGTTGATTAACTAATACATAACTATAAATAATTAAATAACAGTAATTCATAAATTATCTGTTATTTAAACTGCTGACAACTTGTTTGAAAAACCGTTAATTAATAATGAAATATTATTATATAATATGTTTAAAATTCCTAAGAATGCTATCTTGTAAAGTTATAGGGACATACATGTTAAACATATAACAACCATTTTCACATTTGGGGAACTTATTATTTTAAATACATTGTTTAAAACAAATGAGTTGTAAGGAAGACACATGGGTTATCCCTTTTTTCAACTTTCCAAACTTGCCTATTAACATCACCAAAATTTTCATGATGCATCTCCGTTCTTCTCAGTGTAGAATGGAAGCTTAGTAGTAATGTAGTGAGAGTAGCTGTATAGCAGACTTTGAAAAAATAAACATGGTCCCTAGTTATGAGATCAAATGAATTCCCCAGTGGTTAGAATCCTCTTGCTCTTTATTAGTCTGTATTCTTGATCTAAATGCCCGCTAACTGCCTAACATCACGAAAATATTAATTCACATTTATTTTCCTGCATCTGTAAAATACATTCAGAGAACTTCTTAATTTTGTTGGAAACTTTCACTCTTATAATTCTTTTCTAAAGGCTTCGTGTGTCTACGTACGCTGATTTAGATTAAGAATTGGTATTATACAAGCTACACACACAGTGAGGGTAGCGCAAGTTGAATCAAGTGCCTATTATTGTAATTCTTCTTTTGTAACCTTTTTAATTAATACAATGACTACTGTCACCTTTTATCTTTGTTTACTGTCTTAGGGAAATTTACGTTTCTAATTCCTCTTGCTTTAAAATGGCCAACTTTTCTTACATTACTGTTGGCCCTAACTGCTTGTAGCAAAACTTCTGTTGCAGTGTTAGTTTTAACTGATATTTGTTGTTTATTTCGAACTTTATCTTATAGTAAGTTTATTATTATGAACTCTCGGGGGTCTAGTTGTTTCGTTAGCGCCAGAGTTTGGAATATTTAATCATAATGCTGCTGTTGTAGAATTTAAATTATATTTGTGCGCACTTAATCAAACCTTTTCCTAGAAGATGTGTTATTTCGAGTTCAGTTAGGTATCCTGCCAGGTGATCAACTCACAGAATCATAATTTTCATCGTTCTAGAAATGGCAGAATGAAAACCAGACCTAACAAAACACATCGTAAAGACAAATAAGTCATAAGTTTCAACAGGTGTTTAATAATAACTCTGTGGAAACTATGGATTACCTAAATATGTATTTCAAGCAATTTGTTTACTCGAGACCCTCCATTTACAATTAACTATATATGCTATACTATTGTAGGACTGGTGATCGAAATGCTTATCCATTGAGTGTGACTTTTCTTCATGTAGCATTTTATTTTCGAATGCCAAGGAGGTTTAAAAAAAAAAAAAAAAAAAAAAAAAAAAAAACAGAAGTTTTGCGAAAAGCTTCTGTTTTTTAACATATTCACGCTCGAGAGGAGAATTAAATTTTACAGCAAATTTAATAATTACGATTTTCAATTGAAATTTTATAACGTAATAGATTTTTCAATAAATTTATAATTTTGTATTAAATTATAAACAAATTTTATTATGCTGTTATTATTTGAAATAAACCTTTTGCCGTACGTAAAGAAACCGGAATTGTAGTTTAGTTCTTGGTAAAGGCTCAGTTATAAAATAGTGTGTAATATAGGATGATGCAAACGTGATATATAGTGTACTACGTAATGGAGAAACAATTAGTAGTTGCGTAAAATATTTATAAGCTTGTGCTGTTTGACTGAAAAAGTAGCTCCCACTAGTATGCATTCGGCTAAAAGTTCACTTTTGCAATTCGAATAATGTAATGGTCACTATTTGTGTCTATTGAATTTCAAATCCAATAAAAATACCAAGTGTTTATCACTATGGTACATTTTTTCGTGTCATGGGGAGAATCCATATAAATACAAAACTGCATATCGTATGTCCAGAGATGGTGATAGAAAAATCGAAAATTCACTTTTTGCCTCAGCGAAATTAAACTAAAATGGGAAGCAGACATTTTCAGAAGCACTTTGTGAACTAAAATGAGAAATGAAGCTTAACACAGAAAAGAGTTTAAAGCCTTAGAGCCGATATCAGGTAAAAGAAAATCTAAATTAACTTTAGTTTTCAAGAGACGCATATACTGAAAAAAAAAAAAAAAAAAAAAAAAAAAACTGTATTTCACAAAACTATGAAAAATAAAGATTAACAAAACGTAAAAAATATGGCATTCCCTAAGTTGGAGCTTTCTATAGTTGCAGCTTGTTTTAATAAAAGACTGCTTATAATAGTAATCGTTCAATCAGTACTGTGTTTATCACAGCTCATTTTTTCCCACAAAGCTTACATCGCATGAAAATGTATTTGGGTTTCAGGAAAAAATATCCATTCATATTTTATATAGAATATACAAATACTTTGAAAACTATATTAGTTTAAAATATAGTAGATTATTATTAATATTTCTTATTTTTTCCATTTGTTCTTAAAAAAATATTTGCTTTGATTTTAAAATAAAGGATAGTAAGAGAATACTGAAAAACTAACTAAAACTTCATACGCTGCAGACTAAAAAATTTGCACATTTTTACCTATTTCTATGATTAGATGTAACTTAAACAGATGCTAACAATAGGAACATATTTCAGTGATAATTTTTCTGAAATTAAATTAGTTGCATTTTATACTGAAAAAGAACAAATGCAACATTCTTCTGTTTCCCTATTAGGAAAGTTTAGAAACAAAGAGTTACATTTTTGCACATAAGAATTTATGCGCCATTCATAACATACAATAAATGATGAAATCGGTAACCGGGGTTATACTTTAACGACACTGGAAATGCACTCATCACTGACATCGAAGAAATGAGTGATATTTGTAGAAGTTGAAACGCGACAGTTGAGAAAAGGAGTAAAAAGTACGAATGGCACGATCACAACTGTCGCCGAATTTAACTTCTTCCAATCGCTAATGAATTGAGGTCAAAAGCTTCCTAGGCGAAATATAGCCGATCATTCTGAAAGCGTTTCAGCCATTTGCAACCTTACGCCTCTGCATCAGTCTTTGCTTTTCGAGTGCACGGTACAATTTTTCCGGATGTAAAATTTTTGGCCCAGTATGTCTATGCTTGTGGAGGTTGAAGTACGAATGGCCTCGCTTTGTGAAGTAGTAGCATTTATTCCAATTTCCTGTGACGTATTTCGATCCCAGTTTGGGTTTGCCTTTTCTATTAAAACCTATAAACCAGTTTTTTTTGAAGACAGACCGTAGCATTGTGTACATCTCATCCGGACTGAATATTTCTTCAAATATACAACGTGGACTTTCTCCGGAAACCTGTAAAAAAGAAACAGAATGTTAAGATTAATGTTTGTTATTAAACGTGTAGAGTCGCAGTCGTTTTTGCGATATACACTAGGTCAAGACTCTAAATAGAACTAAGCGACTTATCGCTATGTCTAAATATGCAAACAGAGAGTATGAAGAGTGTAAAAGATCCTTCCATTAATAGAAACGTAAATAAGTTGAACAGAAGCACTCTTCGTGCTTACAAACTCAGCCAGCATTTATAGCGTAAACTCAAACGTAGAATTTTAAATTAAAACTGAGTCTTAGCCAAAGTCTATGCAGAAATATTAAACACGCAATCTGACTCTAACCTACACCGGCTTGACAGCACCATTTGCAAGATTAAAGCAACGCCGTAGACAGAAATGCTATCGTAGAATAACAATTAGTGACATGGCCCTCATCAGGCGGAACGCGCTCTAGCTAAAGCAATCTCCAACCTTCACTTAAATATGTTATGTTAGCTTAACTTTGCATTCTGGCAGAGAAACGGAAAGAAGTGGCTGTAAATTTGTGTAATATAAAATAACTGATTAATTTAAATAAGCACTTTACAAGCAAATTACTGAAAGGATCGTAAGATCGGAAAGATTGCAGAATTGGAAAGAGACGAAACAACGAGATTCAGTTCATAATATCAGTTTTAAAGAAGAAAATATTATTTAAATTTTTTACATTTTAACTAGTATTTTTTTTTTTTTTTTTTTTTTTTTGCAGTAATGCTACTTAAGAATTATTTAATCTGTTGGAAACAACATTATGAAGATATATGATTCCGTTTTGGATTCCCAACACTCCATATTACATTCAAAACCTTTATTTTACCCCCTTTGCATGGATTTAATTTTTCATTTAATGAAATTAGTTTGAATAAAATTTTATGCGAATTACATTGACGAATATACTTTAATTATCGCAGTAAGATGAAAGAGCCCAAAAACTCCACCAAAGAGCCACTTATTCAGTTGGAAACTGAATAACTTGGAAACTGAATAAGTGTAAATTTTACTTAAAATTTGAACGTGCAGGCTGGAAACATCACTCACAAAAGTGATGGACAATAAAATTAACAAAATTCAAGTTATTTGAAAAAGATAATTTTGCTCGTTTTCTCCTTTTCCCTTCTATTTCACTATATAAATGATGCCATAAAGCTTTCTTACGTTTTTACCTGTGTTAGATGCTTTCGATATGCGTAGAATGCTACAACAACTTTTGGATGTAAAAATCTTTTGGTTTGTACCAACTACACGAATCGAATTTCTTTATTCCCCGTCTTAATAGGCGGAAGAAACCTCGTAGGTGAAAATACTTGAAATTTTTTTTAAATGAATGAAGATGCATTTTACATCTCATTTTTCTTAAGAATTTAAATTTCTAGAGAAGAACACGACTTTCGTAAAATATAAGCCATATAAGACTTTTGTAAAATATAATACCATTTATTCTTCTACTTGGACATTCAAGTGAAACCAGAAGTCACTATTTCCGACTTTCAAAGGAGCACAATTTCATACAAAATAAAAAATGAGTGAAAATTTCGCACGCGCTGAAATAAAAATGGATTACAGCAAGTTCATATTCAACATTTAAAAGAGTCTTAAATCCAAAGCGCTCTACTAATGTTATCCAGGGATTTCCATCCACGCATCTCTGCTTCACAGCTTTTAGATTATAAAAATTTGAACCTCTTCTTAATTTGCCTCTTCTAAATACAGTGAAACTTTCTACAGGATGACAACCCTCGACTTCTTATTATTTTCGTCTCCTGTGGAGGGAACTATTTTAGAGAAGCGATGTTCAAAGTAAATTTTTGTATTTATTCTCAGAAATACTTGTCATTTTATGATATGATATCAAAGAAGGACTCTGTGTAAATATTTGCAGACTTTCATAGGTAATGCAGCAGTTTTATTTTATTTAAAATCTACGACTGTAAGCAAACAGCTCTAAGTTTATAACAATACTGTTTTATAAATATCTTTTTAAGTTTTTATTTACGTACTTTAGTTTTCCTCCTTTATATGATTTTAAAACTGCTTAACCTCATTTTGAACTCCGTATTTTTAATTTTCTGTTCATATATTTTAACTTATATTGCATGTAAATTGAAACTACTCGCTGCAACATCCTTCCTAAGAAATGATTGTCTCTGAAAAAGACCAGTACATCTGACAATATAAATAAACACTGCGACGACTACCACCTCCAGATGACCAAAATGCTTGATATCTGGGTAGACTTTGTGGAGTAGATCCACTGTATTTTATTGAATCGTCTTTCTTTCTTCATTTTCCTTTTCTCCGTCGTCAGGACAACCGATCCGCTAGGAAAGGTGCTTGTCGGCATTGAAACATCTGTCTTAAGCTTCCCTTTTATTGCATGTTTTGCTATGTTACATTTTTAAGTATATTGCCCTACAAATGAATTTATCATCATAAGTGTCCAAGAATTATTTCTCACCACTAATAAGATTTACTGAATTTTTCATTTAAAATATAGATATTCAATACATAACATAGTCCATTACATTACTTTCAAGCTTCTCTTCATTTTTCCTGCGCGTTACTATTTAAATTAAATTTTACTAGGCTTTTAAACAAATACGTGCTAACATATATTTGTTTCAATTTTTTTCTTCAAAAATACTGCATACATTTTATTGTTTGATCATTTTCGCCTGGTGATTTTACCTTATTTTATCTTCTTATACCAGCAAGCTATAAACTACATACGATATAGATATTTTTCTTTAATAGTAAAAAATTAATGAGTGTGGAAACTGTCAGTGATTTGTTCGATTAATTCTATTATTATAAGTGACATACACACACTACACCACACACACACATATATATGTAATAATAAAATTCCATAGTCAAGAATACACTTAAAATTCTAACTGTATGTTCTTTTCATTTTTAATGGCGACGTTCTCTTATTTGAAAGTACGTGGAATTAAATCCACAGCCCAGTAGTCAAGTTGTTTTTCCCGCCTTTTCTACACGTACAGTTATAGAATGTTCTGGAAATATTTTAAGCGAACTGGATTGGCTGACGAGGCTGACGTCATTTCTTTGAAGCTCCGCCTTTCCAGAGGCTATAAAAGGACTCGCGAAAGAATATCGGGGCTTTTTCTTAAATGTCACGACGCAGTAAACTTCATACAAAAATTTATTAGTAATTCTTTTTATTTACTCCGGATATCTGATTTTGTAACTGCTATTTCTCCTGAATAATAATAAATGGATCCTGTTTTTTTTTAAAACTTATCGTCTGATAATTTAAGCTACGACTAAAGCTGGTACACCACATATATATATATATATATATATACATATATAATATAAAGAAAAATAGGAGTAAAAAAGAATTTTTATAAACCGAATGACCAATCTAGTCAAAAATAGCCCTTTTAGCTGCTAATTGTTTTAAATGAATTTAAATAAGAAAGGAATTTAAAACCTAGAAAAAGTCGTTAAGGACACCTGAAGTTACCTATCGTAATTCCAGAAACACTTTCTAAAATGAAAATTTTGGTTTTATTTGTAGCACTTTGTATGTTTGTTCACTTTTTATTTTTTTTTTTATTTTAAATGTTTTAGAACGTGCAGGCACGTCGGGAAAAGGGGCAAATCTAATGAGACTTTTGTTAAGTTTAATTTGTAAAGACATTTGAGTTCGCTTAATACCGTTAGAAGTCTCAGTGGATTTGTCAGATGAAACATGTTTGTATGGTCTAGTTAATCAACTTGGTTTGAGGCTTCAAGACACTTTTTCCTTGACAAGTTCTGTTTCAGACTTTGAACACAGAAGACTAAAAAAAAATTTTATGCTTGTTTTTTCAATTTTTCTGTTGTTTTTAAAAAGTGATTTAGTTCATAATTAGTAATTTACTTAATAACTCAATTTGTGTGTGTGTGTATGTGTGTAATCTAGAAGTACTGATGGCGTAGAACTTAGATCCATATAGAGGAGAAGGAATTCTGATTGCGTAGAATGCTAAAATATTGAATCTATAATGACTGGAAAATTTAGCAGCCGAGTAAGATTAAGTATTTATTTTTATTTCAATTGACTTTTGTGGCCACCATTCACTTGGCACTCTAATCGCGCCTATTTCCAGAATATTTAAATTTTTTATACAATTGCAATAGGAAGATAGCATAGTGAAATAGCGTACAAGAAGCAACAGAGGCAGAAGCTAAAGTGCTCAATTATCCAGTATGGAAACTCACAAAGAGATTTTGGTTTAGGTTAAAAAGGTTTTTAGTTCTCAAAATTTTGAGTTCAAGTTTCGAATTAGCTAGGTTTTGCTTTTCGCAAGCAAAGTGGCACAGATTAATCTGGAAATGGCGCAGTCCAGAAACATTATCACTCTTTTTAGAATACAGAGAGGAAATACCTAAATTAAGAATGAGGAATTAAGATGCTATTATTAAATTAAATTATAAACCTGATTTACATATTTTTAACCTAATTAGAACAATTATTGGATTATCTCCTAGGGAAAAAAAGGAAATTAAACGTGTAATAAAAATTTGTATTGTTCTAATGCCACATGAAAGTAAATTTAAGTACTGAATAGTAATAAATATATATGTAATATTAATAAACGTAGTATAAAAATAATTATTCTCGGAAAAAAAAATTATAAATAGTGCAGATCGGGAAGGGGAATGCGGTCTCCCTTTTATTTGCATATTAAGTATTTTGTTTTAGTTTATGAACATAAAACTAGTTTTATGCAAGTTTTGGTATTTATCAATATTTTCTTGTTTAATTTATAAAACACGTTAAAAATAATTTGAATTTATATAAATGTATACTTATTTTTCGAGTTTTGGAAAAGGGGGTGATGGTCAGTGGTCAAAAGGTTGCATGGGGCAAAAAAGAGTGAGAGCAACTAGTGTACGTAAACTAAAAATCATATATCGAGAAAATCGAAAACCAAAAGATATCATAAACGTAATATCATATAAATTAGA